TTTTGGGTGATAGGCGGTAGAGACACGATGGGTCACATTGAACTTCTTCAACAAATCCTCCATCATGTTGTTGAAAAAATGTGTCCCTCGATTACTAATCAGTGACCTAGATACACTAAATCTTACAAAAGTATTAGACTTTCAAAACGCGATAACCGTTTTGTCATCATCCGATCTTATGGCTTTGGCTTGAACCCATTTATAAACATAATCAACTGCGAGTAAGATGTTAACATTGCCAAATGAGATGGGAAATCGACCCATAAATTTGATCCCCCACACGTCAAAAACTTCACAAACGAGGATCGGATTTTGTGACATTTGCTTCTTTTAAGAAACATTCCCCGTCCTTTGGCACTATTCACAACTTTTAGAAAACTAGTAACAATCACATGTCATGGTTGGCCAAAATAACCCACGTTCAAGAACCTTTTCTGAAAGTTTGATTAGGTCCGAAGTGTCCCGCACAAGCTTGTTCATAACAAAATTCTAAAATACCTTGATGCTCTTATTGGGGCACACATATCCTAATGATTTGATCGGGACAATATTTCCATAAAGAAGGTTTATCCCACACATAGCATTTTGCATCACTTTTCAATTTATCTTTTTGAGCACGTACGAATGTGCCATGATACTTTTTTGTGACCGAAAAGTTAACGATATACACATACGAAGGAATAGATTAAGTAAGGGAAAAGAGATGCTCTTCGGAAATTTGTCCCAAAACAGGAGAGGAGTTTCATTTGATATGATTCAACTTAGCTGGTCAGCAACAAGGTTTTCACATCCACTATTGTCTCGAATTTCAAAATCAAATTCTTGAAATAATAAGATCCACTAGATGAGTCTTTACTTTGCATTTTTCTTTGTCATCAAATACTTGAGAGCTGCATGATCCGAATACACAATAAAATTGGTATCAATGAGGTATTGGCTAAACTTTTCCAAAGCGAAAACTACGGCCAATAGCTCATTATCCATGGTAGATTAGTTGCTTTGAACATTGTTTAGTTTCCTTTATGCATAGTAAATCGCATGGGAGGCTCTTTCGTTATTTTTACTCTAAATGGAACCTATGGCATAGTTTCTTGCATCACACATGATCTTAAAGGGGCGATCCTAATTTCATGTTTGTATGATAGGTGTGGATGTAAGCAACTCTTTGAGCATGCCAGATACATCTTTGCATGCCTCATTGAACACAAATTCGACATTCTTTTGCAAGATTTGGCACATTGGTCTTTTTTAACTTTAAAAATCCTTGATGAAGCTTCGGTAGAAAACCACATGACTAAAAAAAGAACGAACTTCCCGAATACAAGTCGGGTAAGGTATGCTTTGAATAACATCAATTTTAGCCTTATCTATATCAATTCCTTTCTTTCACACAATGTGACCCAAAATGAGACCTTGACTCACCATAAAATGACTTCAAAATTTAAGACCAAATTCGTTTCAATGCATCTTTTAAAAAATTTTATGATATTGTTCAAACATTCTTGAAAGGAATTACCGTATACCATAAAATCATCCATAAAACTTCAATTATATTTTTACCATATTTCGAGAAAATACTAACCATACAATGTTGAAAAGTAGCTGGGGCATTACACAATCCAAATGACATTCTCCGGTATAAAAAAGTGTGAAATGGACATGTAAAGATTGTCTTTTCATGGTATTCTGGTGCCAACATGATTTTTTGAAAACTGGAATACCCATCTAGACAACAATAATGACACTTCCCGATCAAACTTTCTAACATTGCATCAATGAAAGACAATGGGAAATGATCTTTTTTCATGCTTGCATTAAGATTTCGGTAGTCAATACACACTCTCCAACCCTTCTGCACATGGGTGGGGACCATTATATCTTTGTTGTTCTCGACCACCATGATTCATGTCTTCGTTGGTACCACTTGCATCGTGATCAACCACTTGCTATCTGAGATTGGATAGATCATTTCTGCATCGAGAAGCTTTAGGATCTCTTTCTTCATAACTTCCATCACAGGTGGATTCAACCTTCTTTATGCATCTCGTTTTGGCTTGCACTTGTCCTCCATTAAAATTTTGTGCATAAAAGTGGAGGGGCTAATTCTTTTTATATCTGTAATTTTCGAACCCATTACTTCTTTGTTCTCTTTCAACACTTTGAGGAGTTGTTCTTCTTCGAATTCAATTAAGTAGGTAGAAATGATAACCAGAAGAGCCTCGTTCTTTGCCAAATATGCATACTTCAAGTGTTGAGGCAAAACCTTTAGCTCTAATTCCGATGGTTGGACAATGGAATATGGCAACTTTGTGTGAGTTTGAGGTAATTCAACTTTCTTGACATCAACCTTTGTGACTTTCTCCACTTCTAAATTATTAACCAATTTTCAACATCCAGATCCAAGGAATATAACTTTAATTTCTTGGAGAGATTTTCACAATCAAATCCCTTGCTCAAAATCATATCTAACATGTAACCATTTGTCAACTCAAACAACTCTTGGGTTAGTGGTTTAATAACATCAACAAAATATAAAGAGGAGACATCACTAGGATATCTCATAGCATCATAAATGTTAAAGCTTATTGTTTCACCATAAACATCCATTGCTATGTTAATTACATGCACATCTATCCATTTTCAAAAATGGTCTTCCAATATATATTAGAGTCGATTTGGAGCAAAATTATTCTTATAAATCAATCACATAAAAATCCATCGGGAAGACTAATTGGTTCACTTGCACTAAAACATCTTCTAAGACACCCTAGGAATAACACTTGATTTATCCGCAAGTTGAATTATGACACCTATATCATTTAAATAACCAATATTTAGCGATTCATGTACCAGATACACATGATATGAATAAAAGCACCAAGATCAAACATGTCACTACTAATAGTAACATCCCTTATGTTTCAAGGAATCATAAACATCATGGGGTCTTTGCTTTTTGGTGGGAGTTTTCTTTGTAATACAACTGATGCATTTTCACTCATTGAAATCTTTTCGTTCCCTTGCAACTTTCTTTTGTTAGTACAAAGTTCTTTCAAAACTTTTGCATATCTAGGAATTTGATTGATTGTATCAAGTAAGGGAATGTTTACCTCCACCTTTCAGAAGGTGTCCAAGATCTCTTTCTCTTCTGCCTTCTTCTTTGAAGTTGCAAGTCAGGAAGGGAATGATGCTTGAGTGACTAGTAAAATGACAAGGTGTTTGATATTCTTTGGAGAATCGGGTTGTGCATCACCCTTGACAATGGGATCTTCAGTTTGAAGTGATCTCAATTTCTTCCCCATCTTCTAATGACTTCTTCTTTGAGCTACTATCTCGTATTTGCTTTCCACTTCTCAAAGTCACTACATTAACATTTGGATTCTTTTTAGTTTGAGAAGGTAATTTGCCATGGAACTCCGACTTGCTTAAAGATGTAACTATATCACCTATTGGTGATTCAATATTGAAGATACTAGTTCTTGTTTCTTTTTGGAATTTGTGGGTGCTAGTGGAAAGAGACTTGACAATGAGAGACATTCTGGAGCTATTAGGTTGGGATTGATGAGGTTGTTGGTGGTGTTATTGAGGATGTAGTTTGGATTGATAGTGGGGTTAGTTTTGTGGATGTTGGTAATGAGATTGTTGTGGTGGGTAAGAAGGTCTAACTAATGCATTTTGAGGTACTGGTCATGGATTATAGCTAATATTGGGATTGGGCTTCCAACTCGAATTGTATGCTTTTTGGTAACCGGATGGCTTGTTGTGGTAGTTTTGAAATTCACTTGTGGCATTTACATGGTCCGCATCTTCTTGGAGAATAGGACACATATCCATGGGATGTTTAGCGTTGCACATATACCATAAACCATCACTTGCGGAGTTCCTCCCATTGCTAACTTTTGAATAATGGATGTCAAATCTGCAAGATTGGAATCTCAAGTCGATGTCACCACTTCATTGACCTTTTGATGTGCATACCTCTTCATATCTTAGTGTGGACTAAAGTTTTGGAACTTGGAGGTTATGGTGTTGAAAAGTTGTCTTGTTTGTTTATGAGTTTTACTAAAGACATCTCCACCACTTGAAGCATCAACAAGTCTTCTCTGCATAGGCAACAAATCCTCATAAAAGTGTTGGATGAGGAGTTGTTCTAGTATTTAGTGTTGTGGGAAACTCAAACACAAGATATTAAATCCTTCCTAATAATCATAGAATGTCTCATTTTGACCTTGGTAGATTCCACAAATCCCATTTCTCAAACAGGAGCAATGATTGGTTTAAGGGGGAGAATGTAACTTTTAATCAATTTGGTATGTATTTCATAGAGCCACTTTGTTGACAATGATAACTTCTTATGTTCACATGGTGAACACAATAAATAGTAACAATAATTATAGTGGCTAGTTTGAGTATACATAGAAGCTCTAACATTAGTAGTAGAGCACCACACAATGGAAGGAGTTAAAGAACAATACCTAGAGAGAGTATTAGCTAGAGGCTTGTTTTTTCTTGTAATATTGAGTGTGTAATAATGGTGTATCCGGGCCAACCGATCAGACTAACACCGGCCCAATCATGTCATATCAGTTTATAAATGACAAAACACAACTGTTCGATGTAATCAACCCACGAGGCAACACCAATACACATTAAAAGACGAGAAACAAGACATATCCTAGAAGTCGTGCAACCACAAGATCCTGGCAATAGTAAAATATAAATTTATACACATAACCTAGCTGTCTTTACCCAAGTAATGAAAGCTACCGGGTAAAACCTTGCACCAAGGAATTTAGAGATGCTTATAAAGCCCTCGAAGAGACAACGAGAAGGTAATGTTTTTTAAGCATTCAGAATTCTTTGCAATTTTGTTTACAACTTCAAGAAACGTCTAACACGAGCTAGAAGTACACTCGCCGCCTTCAGATGAAGAGAAAACCTCTTTTCACACAGATAGGTCTTCCTTTTGTTCCGTTTATGAATAAAAAGTATCTTTCAACCCCAATTCATACAAAATTTAATAGATCAAATTATTAAATATTAAAATTATTAAGTTTTCGGCAAACAATGTGCTTAAAATTTACACAGGAAAGATGAAAATACGGGACATAGACCAATACATATATGAATACAACACTGTCGTTTTAGTTCTTGCAAAATGGAAGTGAATATTTTGTGAAGGAAGTCGAAAGCGATAGCATACGATTAACAGTCCATGCCCATATCTTGTAGCACTCGTCGTCATCTATCATGTCTAGTTTAATTATCCCTCGAGTAGTCGTTAAGACAATGAGAAAACAAGGGTCCCTTCCATCTTCGTAGTTCTTATAGAGCTCCACATGCTGGTCTAACACAACACCTACCGCATAAACATATATAGAACTTGATCGTTAAAGTATGCTCAATTTAAACGGAGGCCAAAAATAACATAAATTCATTGTTAACTTAAATCCATAATATCTAAATATAGCAAATAAGCAGGTTCGGTTGATTAGAAAATAAATTCTATCAAGAACATTTGAAAATATCCCTTTAAGTCATTTTAATTTCTTTAAACAGTATTAATTTTGTCCAGTATAAAGTTATATCATAACCAGAAAATCGTACTTTCTTTTTTACTAGAAAATGCATTCAGTAGATTTAGCTTCCTTGTTCTCAGAATAACCTGTAAAGGAAAAAAAAAAAAAGTAGCATGCAGTTAGAAACTAGATTTATAGAAACATAAATTTATTGCTAAACAGATACAACTCAAAATATGATTACACTTTGTCGCATAGCTGTCCTATATAGATACAGAATACGACTATGGTTTTATTATTAATCTTTCAAAACACTTTTTACAAAAAGGGTGTCTTTAATTGCACCTTGGCTTCATGATTCAAGATGACAGACACCGATCTGATTATGCATCTTCCTGTTAAAACAATAAATTAAGGTCAATGAACAATTTCATTTATCACCAAAAACTTTAATAATAATTAAAAAAAAAAAAAAACGAAATGGGAAATCGACTTGCCATCTGATGTCCTGATGCTAAGTTCAGTTCCTCTTCTCAAGATTAATCGACACTGCTCAAAATCGAACTCTTGATCAGTATTTTCTTCGATAGGTAGAACTGGAATGTTTGTATTCAACATGTTCTTGCATGCAGATCTTGTTTTCAGCGTTGTAGCTCCTCGCAATGCTGAACAACATGATACAAACATAAATTAGATACAAAGAGAATGATTGTTGCTTTTACTATCAAATAAAAAGTTTAAAACATCGATTATCACATGTAGAAGCTGCAGCAGCTAGAGTTAGAATGTCGCTTGCACTTGTCGCACTCATTGCGGAGTTCATTACAGTGCTAATCTGTTGTTTCTTCGCACCCATTGCCTCCGCTGTTTTTGCACACTGAGCAGCAACAAGAGCTGCCGCTGTTGCTACTGCTGCTTCCTTTGTGGTGGAGTTTAAACCACCGCTGTGTGAATTTTGAGCGGCTATGGCAGCCAAAGCGGCGGCAACACCAGCTACTGACACCGCTGCATGGAGTTCTGCTTTTTGTAGTCTCTCGTTTTCTTTCCTCTTGCGCTTAATCTCTTTCAACCATTTCTTAATGGAGAGATTTGATGATTTAAACGGAATTATATGCCATGGTTGCTGCATATATATATAAATATTAAACATGTTAATATTACACATGATGTAAGATTATATAGGAAGATGTGTTAGAACTTAGAAATGACGAATTGATTAAATTTTGTACCCATTTCTTTCGGAAGCAGCTGTTGTAGTTTAATTCTGGGTGCATTGCTTGTTGCATCCATATCCATGACTAAACGAAGATCAACAATACTTATGAGTATTGATAGCATGTGATGTTTATGAAACAGTAAGACAATGTGAAACATGTGGGAAAATGCAGGAAATTCACATGGTAGTGACTTTAATTGCAGTTTTCGTGCAACCATAGATATCATTCCATCAGGGTTCCAGTTTTTAATTTGTTTTTGTAACTTTATTTTACGTGGAAATCGAAAATTTCCGTCTATCACTCCGTATATTTTAGATAAAACTAAAACTATTTTATAGATGATTTTGAATTTTTGGTTTTGAGTCGCACCACTGAAAAATAAAATGGTCTTGTGTATTGTGTACAGGATCACCGGTGTGCAAAAAATATATATATATATATATATATATATATTATATATATATATATATATATATATTTATATATATATATATATAATATATATATATATATATATATATATATATATCAAAAATAAAAAATTAATATATCATTTTCTTAAAAAGGAGTTTTAGTGTATT